ATACTTTCGTTAAGTCACACTTACATCGTGACATCGTTCTAGGAAGCCTAGCCTGTTAAAGTTCCTTTTCTTTTTCATCGATATGTATGTCACTACTAGTTGATCGTTGTGTTACCCGTTAAAAAAAGTTAACGCTCCTTTATGAAAAAGAAAATAAACAAGAATCGAGCATAGATAGATATACGTATGTTAGAAAAAAAAAAAGTATAAATAATTTTGCATAAGTAGTAATAAAATCAATCAATTTTGTCATATGATTTAAACGAATAGAAATTTTTCTTTTAAATCGATCAATCCTGTTAAATGAAACGATAGAAATAAAAAGAAAATAAGGAAAAATAAGAAGAAGAAGAAGAAAACCAAGACAATTGGTAATAAAAAGACGATAATTGTTATACGTTTTATGTTATAAGAAAGAAGAACATTTATGATCATCATCATCTGTATCATATAGTTTGTTGTTTCTCGATGATGGATTAATCAAGTGTAGAAAAAATGAAAGAGATAGGCTCAAGTCTGTTTAACCATTGAACGTTCGTGTGGGATACCGCAAGCCCCACTGACTCACAAAACTACTTTCCCTTCTTTCTCGATGAAGTACCTACCTACCTACCTACCTACCTACCTACCTACCTATCTTAGCTACGAACAGAGAGCCCCGTTATCCAAGCGGTTGCTCGTCGAGAGTGAAATGGTTTTGTCTAACTAACTCTTGGCCCTACTCTTTTTCTATTTAAAAGGGGGAGAAATATGAAAGTAAAACGATTGTAAACGACACGAGCTCCGTTTCGTTGTCATAATTACGAAGATATAAATTTCACCTCGAAATATTGTTCCCTTTTTTTCAATTGAAACTCGTCATTGAATATTCTCCGATCATTCTTAAAGATAATATCGCGAAATTTTCCAAACGAGGCATGGTCATAATGATATGTATATATATATATATTTTTTTTTTGTTTTGTTTTGTTTTGTTCCTTTTCTCTTCGAGAAATTGATCATGAAAATGTTCATAGACAATTGTATCCAATCTAAATATTTCTTATTCCCAAGGAGTATTATCGATAAAAGGAATTTTACAAGGAAACGTTTAACAGGATTGGAATGCGTCTATCAGCATAAATAACAACGCTAAAACCAGTTTCAAGCGAGGGAATTGGAGCGGCAATGACTACTGTAATGAGAGAACAAAGAGGAATCATATAATCCCCCATTCTGAAATATTTACGATCATTCGATAAGTTAAGGACATTAATCTTATGCGAATACAAAAATGAGAAGTTGATCGAAAGTTGATTTTATTATTCGAGGGATTAAAAGTACGATGACTGAGCGGGTGTGGGTCGAAAGGGAGAAACGATTGAATGGGATTGGTAACGTATGGCTGATTTTAAAATGTACATAACCGAGAAATATAAAAAAGTTTTCTTTTCGATCTCAAGCCGTCGAGACTTATCTTTGTGGGTCAAGATTCAAGTTCTTTGAGAGAGAGAAAGATAGAGAGAAAGAGATAGAGAGAGAGAGAGAGAAAGAGCGAGAGAGAGAGAGAGAGAGAGAGAGAGAAAAAGTGAGAGGTATTGTTCATTGTTTTGATCTTTCTCTCTCTTTTTATATCAATTTTGAAAGCTTTAGAATTTTATAAAATTAAATGTATTTTTTCGAATTAGAAAAGATGAAAAGATTTTTCTTCGTACTTATCGAAATCTAACCTACCATTAGATCGTCGCTTTCATTTCGTTCATGAAAATAAAAGGTATAGTATTATATTGAGAGAATAAGGTCGTATACAAGGGTATTAAAAATGAAATTCAACGATCCGTCTTATATTTGAAACGCGGTACAATCGTATAACCGTGAGAGACCATTCTTAATAACGTCACGTTCCATTTAGAAGACTCATGGAAGAGAGGAGGCCTTTTGCGAATAACCTGAGACTCTTCTTTCTATCTCTATTTCTTTCTATCTCAGTGAAGAGAGTAAGTTCTACGGCCGTAGAAAGTGTTCCTACGGTTTATTATTACGAGGGAACTGGGCACTACTTCCTCGTTTGTGGGCTGACCTTTCTCTCTCTCTCTCTCTCTCTCTCTGTCTCTCTCTCTTTCTATTCATACACGTATATACCTACTTAATAATTTTGTATAGGTTACATAGAATGTAAAAAAAAAAAAGAAAAAAAAATATTATCGAGCTAAAATTAAAAAGTTCGAAGGAATCAATTGTAAACGATATCCTAAAGATTTATGTATTGATTTTTTTTTTCTTCTTTTTTTTTCTTTCGAGAAATAGTCGATAACATTTTCGAATGATCGAAGGATTTAAATATTGTCTTACGTTAGTACATGCTCTTAGAACCGTATACTACGTATCTACGGGATAAGATGCATAATACGTATGCAGATATACCTACGTACATGCATTTGTACGTAGATACGTATGTACAATATGTAAATAGATATATCCAATCCTTCTCTCTCTCTCCCTCTCTCTCTCGCGCGCGCGT